ATATTTGCCGGGACATGAGCAGAGTTGGGTTTCCGCCATACATAGCGTTTGTCATTTAACCCAAAAAGACAGTTTTGGTCTCATCTGGCCGAAAAATTTCTGTTACATTGTTATAGGGTTATTGAAATGTTTACGGGCATAGTCCAATCGCGATCTAAGATGCATCTTCGTCAGTAATGGTTTCTTTCTTGCCACCCTACCATAAACTTTTTTTGCGTAAGGTACGTGATATTGTCGAGGTGTATACAGTAACTCCAATTGCTGCTATTGAAGTCTGTAGCTCCTTCAATGTCACTGTTAGTTTGACAGTCGCTTTTCTGGCGATTTTTCTGCTTGTTCGAGCTCAGACTTTTTTAGGGCGACTTGATCTTGGCAAGGTTGAAATAGTGTGACACACTTTCCATTTCTTCACAACCGATTTTACAATATTTAATGGCAAATTGAGAACCTTTGAAATTGATTTATGGCCTTCTTCGCAATTGTGCTTCTGAACATTCTTCTCTCTTAGGTCTGTAGAGAGTTCTTTTCTCACCATTCTCAATATGTAACAGTAAACCAAATTTTAACTTTCTCTGTTTAAATCAATACTGATGGCTCTATATTACCTCAAGTATTTTTTCACATGGCTTTATGATATACTTTGGTATCTGATAGAGTTGTAAAGAGCCACTTGTATTTACTTCAGCAGGGTAGTGATGCAAAGTTAAATCAACGATGATAAAAGCTGGGGGTGAGGAGTTTTGCAAAATGTGTTTTCAAGATATTGTTACGTCTCTGTTTGTTAATTAACTTTCCGTAACTTCGTTCCGACGAAACTTAAGCGACACAAGTCCTTACTTAATAAAACTGGTTTATTCTTTCCGAATACAACTTTAGGATACACTTATTTTCAATATTCGCGCTAAAACAAACGCTATATCAACGAACGTCAATAATACTTCTGACAGCAGTTCAATTACTCACTATTTACACACACATTACGTTATCTCGTCACGTTGTCACCCTCTTTTATATACCAGCCTACCCTATCTAGTAAATACTAGAGCATTCGCCAAGGTACGGGATAGTTCTAGAAACTAGAGGGCGTGAGAATAGCCACGTGATCTCGATGACGCAACAATGCCCCCCTCCTTAATATTGTTCGTCCCGAACAATAACCACATACAATAAACCAATAATAATTAACAATAACTTAATTAACTGTACAGAATTACAAAGACAAAATTACAATTCAACAAAGTATCTTAATTTTACGGGACGTATCTTCTTCCGTACTGTTCTCCGTCTCATTGGCTTCTGCTTCATGTGGGGTTCATCCGCTTCATCAGTAATTGTCCTATCATCGGTAACAGTCACATCAGTGGCAGTAACCCCA